AAATTAAAGGTATCTTATATTATTAGATTTATTATTATAAAACATATTTTAGTTAAGGAGTTATTGATATTTCAAGTGCAAAATGATGATATAAAACCATGATAAAAATGCACTTTTAAGTACTAATCAGAGGTGTAACTTTATTAACCCAGTTGAATCGAGTAGGGGAATCTCTTGTGGTGGGAAATTAAGGAGCCTTAGGTAAGCTACACTCCCATGAAAAAAGTTGGGTCTTTTGCAATGCGGTGTCCACCTGAGAAACAGGGGCATCCATAGCTTATTTAAGTTCTCTTAAGCATATATTAGCATCGGCCTTGGTATCATTAAGTTGTTGTTGGATGTGATCATATGCCTGGGGTTGCTCCAGATTGGTGGTTTAATCCACCCTTCTGGCATCTTGGGATTTCGTTTTAGGAGGCATTTTGAGTCTAAAGATGTTGCCATGATACCACTTGGAGCAATTAACTTGGTTGTCATGAGATAGAGCAAAAGAAGTAGACGAAGAAGAAGAAGAAGATGAAGAAGAAGAAAGAGATAGAGCAAAAGAAGAAGAAGAAGAAGAAAAAGAAGAAGAAGAAGAAGAAGAAGAAGCGGGTGAAAACACAAAAAAGGTGTGAGGGAAGAATTATTGAAAGAAAAGAAATTGGTTCAATATTATTGCATGCATACATCTGTTGTAATAGAATGTTATTATATATACAGGGGAGCCCAGCTCGTGATTTCTTTCTTTTCCATGTGACTTATAACAGAATTATAAACTCTATAAAACGCGTCGTTTTGGACTTAATGACTTAATCTAAAACACACCGTTCTATCAACTGCTTCTCTTAATTTGAATTTCCCCCATGTGAACCCATTAATTAGTTGATGTCCTAAAACTGGGACAAGGAGACCTATCAAGAGAGAAGCAGGTGTGTATCGACCTCCCTTTTGTTTTGTCATTGTAATCATCTCTCACTTCAAAATTAATCATGATTCTTTGATATGTGATAAAAAAAAAAAAAAGATGTTAATAACTACTTTTATATGTAATAATAATAAAAATAATTAATTATAAACAAAATGATGAGATTTTTTAATCAATAGTTAATTGATTAACATTAACCACCAAGATTATTATTATTTTTTTATTTTTGATTCTTGTTTTTTTTCTAATTATTGAATTTTTTAATTAGATTTTATTAGGTGATATAGAAAAATTGATTGCATGTTTTTCTTTTCATTTATCAAAATCAGATATATTCACAATATATATTTAAACTCAAAAATAAAAACACAAGTGATATTAAATACTACAAAATACATATTCAACTAAAAAAATTCCACAAGATTTATTTTAATTTCATTAACTAAATTAATTAAAAACACAAGTGATATTAAATAACTTTAATTTTGAATTTAAATCATTTTAATTTAACCACTCCTTCAATTCAACCTCGCATTGCATTAATCATTCTCAATAATCAAAGATTTATGAAGAAAACTAAAAATTGATAGTTTTTAAAACTTCACTAACCTAGATATGGAGAAAATCTTCCTTGGCATTGATTTGATCACCCTAGGTGTTTATAATTTCATCCGAAGATTAAAAATCAGAAAAATAGAGTACATGCAAGAGGATTTCAGACTTCACTGTTTTTTGTATTAAAAAGACGAGTGGATTTTAATTTCACTGAGGGATTTTAAAGGAAAAAATGTAAGTTATTTCATGTAAAGCATCGAAACCTTAATCTTTAATATGAACTTAATCTTAATTTCGTGATTTACAATGGGTGACCAAGTAACATAATCTCATATTTCTGCAAAATGATCAAGGCAATGTAATAGGAGTCATGGAGATGTGTGGACACCGATGCCGATCAAACAAATAAGATAATTACCCGGTCCCCAGCTGCTTCCCTCTCCAAGAAACCCCATTACTCTCCAAATATGAAGCATGGTTCCATTTCCAGGAGAACGAAAACTCAACCACTAGGAGAGCGCAGTGCTGGCTCCGTGTTTAGAAATCCATCTGAATTGGGAGTTGCAGCAGCTGAGTTGATTGAGAAAGCTGGATTGAAAGGTTTCAGAGAAGATGGAGCTATGATTTTTTCATAAATGCTGGTGGTTCAACATCACAATACATGCTTGACCTCATTGCTTTGGCTAAGGAAAAGGTAGATCAAAAGTTTGGAGTTCAATTAAAGGAAGAAATAATACATGTTCAACCATATTCTAACGGCTTGATTCACAACAGAAACAAATACCAACCATGTAATCTTTGATGATAAAAGACAACGAAAGTTTTGCAAAAAGAGAGTTCATAAAAGGCTGATATGTTCTATAGTATTTTTTTCATGTTGGAAAATCCAATTTTTTATAAATTGATTCAATTGTTTCAGCACAAGTCAATAATGAATTACATGTCATGCCTGGTAGCTCCAGAAGCTTTGGTTAGTGCTTTAGTGATGAAATGAGTGGCGATTCCAATAGGACAAAAGAGCAGGCAAAGAGAAACCGAATGTCGAGTCTCAACTTCATTTTCTAGTCCATCATTAAATACCTGCCTGGATAATCGGCAGAAGTGTTAGAACTGCAAGAGATAAAAAGTGGATAGAGAGGGGAAATGAGCAGACCTTGCAGCAAAGAGGTCTACAGCTAACAAATGAATCCATGCTGAAGCTAATGTCATCTCACTGGAGAACATCTTCGATATACCAGGCAGCTGTATACGGAAGCCAGATAGAAGTTTTTGTGAACTTTTCCCAATAAACAGACATCTGCTTCAAAAATTTAAGGGAAAAAAGAAAAGGGATATTACATTCTTACCTCTGGTAACCAGTATTGGCTCGCAAACATTAGGCGCATTGTGTCAGGTGTCCAAGAGAGGTATAATAGAAATGCATACAGAAGTCCAAGCACAATATATGGAATGCTACTTTCCATAGACTTTCTAGTCTGCATTTTGCTCAAATTTAAGCAGTTATGTTGATTTTTAGAAAATAAGGCGTGATCAATGAGCTTCCAAGGAAAATCACATGCATACAGAACTATAGAAGTTAAAGGCCAACATGGGATTTTGTAACACTGGAGAAATAAATAAAAATCTAGACTTGATTATTATCTTGGAGTGCTAGTTGTAAACACACACACACACACACAGATTCTAACCAAAAGCATCTTGATTGATAGTGGACAATATTCATAAGTGTACATAATTAAAAAATAAGGACACCTAACAACTTAAAACCAAAGTCCAAAAGAGTATAAATGTAGCTACAAGCCTACAACTAATTAAACCATTAAGATTTCTGCTCAAAATCAGCAAAATTCAGGAAGTTGAATAGTCATACACGAAGAACAGATACTATGTCACTTGAAAGATGAAAAAAAGAGAGAATACATATGAAGATCTTAAAAGGTTCAGAAAGCATACCACTTCAGCTTTAGGAGCTACAACCATGAGCGTGTAAAATGGGAGAACAGCTGCTGTTCCCAAAGTAAAAACACTGCTTGCAATCTGAGAACTTGTCAACCCTGTAATATAAAGCAATAAAACAATAAGGAACAACATCCACAAGATACAGACTTAAAGTAAGTAGATGTTGCTAGCAGCACTGAATTTGAAAGGAAGAAGTCCTGGACTCTTATCAGTAACAAATAATAGCATAGAACGAAACCAGCTTGTTCCATACTAGTCTTTACTTGTTTTAATACAGAAAACCTGTTTTGTCCATGTGTCACGCAGAAAAGATCCAAGAGGGGACAACAAAAGTGTTCCTGCCTGACCCTAAGTCCCTGTTGGTATCTGTGAAAGAGCATGAACCAATAAAGTCCCTGGTTTCTGAGGCTCTGATAGCAAGTAATTCTAGAGGAGATAAAGTACAGGCATAATAAGTCAGACATCCAGAATTGGGATGCTCTATAAGTTGAATCTGATGAACCAGATCACCCATCGACAACAGCTAATAAATGGATACTAAATAATTCAAACCAAGTAATCAACCTCAAGCATCTCAAAGCAGCACCTGCTCCAAGCATCTGACCCCCATAGCCAGAGAAATATTTTCATAGAAAACAGCAGGAAGTCTAGCTAAAATTGGGTTACATTCTAGAAATGAGCAGGACCAGCCTATCAGTACAATATTGGGGGGGAGGGGGGGGTTCAATAAGATAATGTCTTAAAAATAGAATTTTTTTTTTCTCCCAAATTGACCATGAAGAAGAAAAGAAAACCAGAAAGTTTGCATAGTTCAAATGTACATAAATAAACAAAATTTTCAAACATTTAAATATTGGAGACCTTCAGCAATGTATCAAGCAGAATCCAAATAAAAATAAAAAAATGGAAGAGAAGAAATGCTTGATACTTCTCATGAAATATAAACATAATAAATGATGAATAAAGTGGACAATTGGAAAAATGAAGAATTACATGATGCGTTTACTCCTGAGCTTTTTCGATAGACAAGGAAATTTGTTAGTTTTGGATTAACGATAATTCTTGAACCTCCAAGAAAATTCCAGTCTCTGTGTAAGTCAGCTCCCACTCTTGAAACCCGTTGGCCAAAAAGTTCGATGCTATTACTTCTGAGTGAAGAAAACAACTTTCGATCTTGCCCAGCAATGTGATGAGATCTTATAGTCAACCCTGAGCAATCATTCTGATAAGAGATCAAAATAAACCTTAAGAAAAGCCCTCAAGCTCATGAATATAAACTGAGTGATTCACTTCTGTGGTGCACTCTAGAGACAATTCAAACTCAAATTCAGCGCAAAAAACACTTCAATTGGAAAGGCAACAATTTCATAGAACTGGAACCCATTTAATCTAGTCAAGACATATATAGAATACATAACACATCATACTGTGATATAACATCATAACAGAACAATGAGCTCAGTGCATGTGAACAATAGAGAGAGGTAACACAATACATTGCTGTGAACTTAGCAACAGCAATTCAAGTGAAAGAAACGCTAAGAAAATCAACTGTGTAACGAGGGAGGAAATTAGAAAAGAAAATAACCACATATAGGTGAAGTGTGAACATAGAAACTGCAGCAATGCAACAGCTTATCTCTGAGACAAATCCTCACTACATTACTGAATCATCATAAGCCTCAACTAGTCGAACGACCCCAATTGCCCAAACATAACTCAATTTATGTTGAAGCATATTTCGAGTAGACAATAACAGTAAGACAAATATAGGGTGTCACTGATTTGCTTCATGTATTTACAACACAAATGTAAACTCTCATAAAGGCAACCCCAAAATATAATCCCTCTAATATCAAATGGGTGGAAAAGGCATCTTTGATTTGCAGAAATTCAACAGATATATAAAAAGTCTATTTTAACTTAATTGAAGGTAACCCAACTTCCCATTTCTAATCAAAGAGAAATTCATCCAAAACCACTTAAATCGGCCAGTTTTTCTTGAAAAGCAGTAACATCAAGAATTCCCAAAACTGCATAAACACAGCTAAGAGATCCCCAAGCAAACACTTGCAATTCAATTCAATTATCGTTATACTACACAAAACACCGAAACTCATCCATTCATTTATTCAAAAGATAACAAAGACACTCAGAAGAGAAAAACAAATAGTCCATAACATTGAAAAAAGCAAAAAGATCATACCTTGAGTGAGAATTGAGGATAGCAAAAGCAGGAAGAGAAGGCCATGACTGAAGCAAAACAAAAACACCCACCAACAATAATGGTCTCTTCATTCGATTAGCACTATCTACTATAATAATGCAAGTCACCAAAGAAAAGGGGTCGGTGTCTCGGTGAACTCCCACTAGAGAGAAAATGGGGGTCACAGACAAGTGGACAGCTCAAGAAAGGAAAGAAAGTTAAAGGTATAATGTGCGCGCACTCAAAGAATACTCAGTACAAGGTATACTGTGCGCGCACTCAAAGAACACTCAGTACACTTTAAGCCTCATCTTTTGTAGGACTGCTAATAGCTAGAGGTGATTATTTTCAATTTATCTCAGCAGGCAACTTATTTTCTAAACTGTATATATAGATGGGGAAATAATTCCCACTTTCGGATATAATAGAACATGCGCAACCTTTTAAATTTTATATTTTTGCATGTGCTCTATGCGCAATTAAATGGCATTAATGACCAAATAAAAAAAGAAGAAAGAAAAAAAAATATTAAAGATATACTGGATCTATAAAATTCATTGGAAAAATATTGATAAAATGAATTCATAGATATTATAAAAATTCAACTTCAAAACTGATAGTAAAATATTAATAATTAATTTTGTTATTATTTTTAGATCCTAGTGTGACTTACTACTAGCTTAAAATTGACTTTTTATAATATGAATTTATTTTATTGATATCTTTTTTATGGTACTAAAAACTTTATATTCAGACCTGCAGTATACCTTCAACATCTCAATTTTTTTTTCTAGCCATTAATTTTTATTTATGCATTTGAATCTTCATAAAAATACATACTGATTTTTGCAAAGGTTAATTATCCAGAAAATGTGTTAGTCGTGCATGTTTTACATGGTCTACTGTAAATTTTAATAGGTTATACATGTACTACAAATATCATTTATATAGGTCACACATGTAGTAAATACATGATTTATAGATTAGGCAAATACTGCATGTAGTAATATACTAGTTTGGAAAATAAATCGGTCCACCACATGTGACAGTAAAAGAGACAGGTAATTATCTCGGACAGCGTTGAGACAGTCCACTTTGAGTTAAATTGTTTTTTGCTTTGTGGGCCCACTTTGAGTTGCATTGTTTGTCGCTTTGTGGGCTGTTTCTGAACTGGATGGATAGAGTTTTTGTCTTGGGTTCTTCTCTCGATGTTCTTGGGCAGCATAGATGCATGTGATCGCGGATGTATAGTATGCTATGGGGTAGAATTAGGGTGTTTGTCGTAACTTTTATTTTTATATGTTAAATATTAAATTATCTTTTTAGTATTTTTTAATAGTTTTATTGTGCTAATATTAGTTTTCAAACAAGTCTCATATTTATAAAATTAATCTTAACTTGTATGGCAAAGCAATTATAATTACTTTTAAAATAACTTTTCATGTTGAAATGTATGTAAATAATATTTTTTTATTTTTTAAATTATTTTTAATATCAACACATTAAAATAATTTTAAAACACTAAAAATATATTAATTTAAAGTAAATTAAAAAATTAAAAAATTTTAAACTTTTTAAATCATAGTGGTTGTGATTTATACATATATGAGCACAGGTCCATTTATAAACATGCCTTTCCTACAAAGTTTCTGCAATTTATAAATTATAAAATATAATTTCATCAATTTTGAATTATTTGTCTCAAATAAAGAAATATAAGTTGTATATATGAGAATTTTATATGAAGAATTATCAGTATAGCCTTACTTCCTAAGAAAATAAGAAATGGAAAAAAACCAATTCACTCCAAACAGAGCATAAAAAACATTATTATTATTATTATTATTATTATTATTATTATTATTATTATTATTATCTGGTTAATCCGTAAATCCAAAAATATTATTAGTTTAAACACTTCCAATTAATAGACTAGGCTAAGCCTAAAATAGAGGTGATCGTGTAGCCCATACTTTCAACGTAAGAGCGCAAACCAGAATCTAGCCCACAAGTAAAACAATTCAGGCCAGGCCTACTCACACAGTCAAACCACTGTCAATTTATAGGCCCGAAATAAGATAATAAAGCCGAACCAGGAAGATAGAATTCAATGGTCATAAATTTAGAGACTAGAGGTTGGTTCTTTTATTAAAAAGTAATATTTTCTTTCTTAATTTTTAAAATCAAGTTTATGTTTAGAAAATAATAATAAAAAATAATTATTAAAATATTTTAAATATATTAGATTAACCATAACGATTTCTCGAGAAAATTATGAAGTAAAGTAGCGAATTGTAAAATGGTTCTTAATTTACAATTCCACTACATGGACAATAGAAAATTATTTGGAAATGAAACTAATTCAATTTAATATTTCATCATGATTTAATTCAGTTTAATATTTTATCATGAGTTGTGTAGATTAATTTATATTAAATTAAAATAATAATATTTTAAAAGATCAAAATATTTAAATTAAATTTTGATAGAGTAGGGAGTTGATCCATTGTATCAAATTAACCTCATTTATTTTAAATTATGGATCAGGTAAGATCTTGAGCAAACAGGTCTGCATATTGTTTTTCCGTTGCAAAACTGTTTTTAAAAAAAATTAATTTTTTTTATATATCAAAATATTTAAATTAAATTTTGATGGAGTAGGGAGTTGATCCATCGTATCAAATTAACCTCATTTATTTTAAAATATGGATCAGGTAAGATCTTGAGTAAACAGGTCATACGTATATGCATATTTTTTTTATGTTTTAAAATTGTTTTTGAAAAAAATTAATTTTATTTATTTTTTTATTTATTTTAAATTAATATATTTTTAGTATTTTCAAATTATTTTAATGTACTGATATCAAAAATATTTTTTTTAAAATAAAAAATTATTAACATATATTTTAACATAAAAAATTATTTAAAATATATTCACATCCATATTCCCAATCTCTTAATATCTATGGTTTTTATAAAATCAAAAACAGAGAAACCGATGGATCATTATGAGCCAAGCCCAAGATGAGAAGAGCGCATCTGTGCGATGCATGGGAACCCAATGGATAATTGTATTGGGCGAGGTAGTTGGAAAAGATAGGAGCACGAGGACGTTCGTTACCGTTGAATTACTTGGTAACAGAATTTAATCCTTTTCGTTTTTGATTTCCGAATTGCATACTGACCGACTTCCACATTCCGAACTCCATACTGATTAACTCCATCCCCTGTCTCTATATATAAACCAATATTAGAGGAGAAAATATAGTTAAAACAATTGAGAAGGATCGAAATATCAGTTCCTGTTCCTGTTCCTGTTTGTGGCATTGTCTTGCTGTTTTTTTGATCTGTTATTGCAAGCAACAATGCTTGTTCCTGTTTGTGGCACTGTCTTGCTGTCTTTTTGATCTGTTATTGCAAGCAACAATGGAGAAACATGGAGGATTTGGTGGAGGAGAAGTCCGGTGGAATCAGCCAAGAAACAAAGAATCGGCGGAAGAGCTGGAGAGATCAAGGGTGGCTTTTAATCTTAGGAGGATGAGAACGTCCTACACCCTGGGGGATCTGTTAGAGGAGAGTTCTCGTGGGGTGTCAACTCATCTAAGTTTATATCATCATTATGATCCATTCACGATCAAGAAGAAGATGAAACCAAGTGATTTGGGTAATTTATGCAGGCTGCTCGTGCCTTCAGATTTGGTGGAGAAACACATCTTGCCTTTCTTGAATACGGATCAAATCAAACAGGTGAATCAAGAAACCAATTTGGGTTTGAAGGTCAGCGTTTGGGATATGAACACCCGGAGCATGCATCAGTTGGTCTTCAAGAGATGGAGCACGTCGAGGAGTTATATTTTCAATGATGGCTGGACAAAAGACTTCGTTAGAAGGAGGAATCTCGTTGAAGGTGATGAAATTGGACTCTACTGGGACAATTATCACTCTAGGTTTAATTTCAATGTTCTAAGTAGGGCTGCTGCTGCTAGCTGATAATACTACAGATTAGTAATGGTTTTAGTTTATGCTAGATTGATGTTTAGGTTGTCAATTCGCTTGTTCTATTGACAATATCTTCAGCTATTATTATTATTCTACTCGTCCTTTTTTCTTTTTCATGTTTGGTTAGATATCATAATTAATCATAAATCTCCTTGTCTAAAAGCTTGAAAGAAAATGCCCTAGAATAATATAAATCTTGTAGGGTCTTTTTTTTCAAGTTTAAATCTTACTATAAATCATAATTTATAATCTTATTTAATAAATTTAAATATTTTGAATATATAAATTAAGAAACCTAGATTCATCAAAAACACTTGGTTAGATAATTTGATATATACTTTTAAATCTCACTCAACTATTCCCCATGTTCTAAAAATTTTACGGTGAAATTGTGCCGGTTTTGCGACGTTGGTGTCATATTGTTTTTCAATTTTCATTCCAAGGTAATGCTGGCAGCCAAGTCTTGTGGCATCAAGCAAAAATCCTTACTGAAAAACCTGGTATAAGTATTAATCATTAAAACTAAGTTGCGAATCTAACCAAAATCACTGAAGAATAAACATAGTATGACCGCAAGCTGTATTAATTGAAGGAAGCTTTATTGCACAAATCATGGCAGCCAAGGAAGGCTCCTTGATAAATTTATGGGGCATAAGATATGTTGTGGAGAGGGATGGATTTTGCATGTACGTATACATCATGCTTGAAATTTTATCCCGTGTTCATCAAGCCAGGAGATAATGCCGTCGAGTACTCGGAAAATCATCTCATCTGTCTCACCTTTCTGAGCTACCTGCCTTCTCATGCAATGCCTTGCTTACTGATGGATCAGCTACTACGTCAGGTTCTCCATGCAGGATTAGTAGTGACAGAGAAACCCGCAAAATGTTGCCATTTCGGATCAAACTATAACCATCAGGAAATTAAGACTAGAAAGAACTTTGCATAATCAATCAGAACCGCAACTCTTGAAAATTTCATGTGATTCTTGGCTTGTAAGAGTTGTCAAAAACGTTACACCAAGTTGGAAGTTCTCCAATAATCTTCATGGAGCATTATTAGCATGAGAAATATACTAAATGGCATGAGAAAATGGATATTTTCACCGCGTAACTTGTGTTAGTAGCTGTTGCAGAAAGGTCTCAAGGTCAGAAGACATAGAACAAGTAGCATTTATGTGTCCCGGAGAGAAGAAAATGACATTAAATGCATAACAATAATGCATTACATCTGTGTTTTATCCTAGATCATAAGACTAACACGCAAACCAGCTCTTGCCTTTTCTAGTCTCTGAATGCCGTCTTGACTAAATTCTGGTGTGGAACTATTTTCAACTTTGGAAAAACTTGAGCTACACCCATCAGAATTTGCTTCACAAACCATGGTGGAATAATGGTATCTGTGAACTGGAGAAACGACTATTCAGCTTAAGTGGAAGTGAGAATCGCCAACGAAATGGAGCTCAAGAGGATACTTCTGCTCCACCCAAAGACTGTCCAAACATGTAGCTTGGGGGATTACGGAGCTTAGGGTTCTCTGCAACGAAATCAAACAGTGTTCAGAGTTGTAGTTGCCCATACGGAGTCTTAGTTCTTCTTCCCTAAATAAAAGTCATTTACCATTCACAAGCTCCGACGGAAACATCAGATTATAGTTCAAGAAAGATAAGTAAAACTTTGATGTTGGAGTAATGCTTAGCGACATCATTGACAAGTTTATCAAGGCTTGGAAAATGGCCACGAAGACCATCTGAAAGGCCAAACCCTGGATAATCCATTGCAAAAAACTCCAGAGCCAGAAGATGCCAACCTTCTTGCAACTCCTGAGGACAGCTCCATAGGCAAATTAAGCTCCATTTTCTACAAATGGCTCACCATGAAACTGTCACTCAATTTGCGTACCTTCAAACCAAAAAGTGCAAGTATCTCTATATATAACCATGCCAATAACAAACCAATGCTTTGGGTTGAGAGTTCCCCGGAAGCCAGCTTTTCGAAAAAAATTCCAATCCTCTTGAATTAACTTCATGTCACTGCCATCTCAAAAAGAAAAAAAAAATCCACGTAGTGATTCATCCATTAAATCTGATAAGAACCACTGACCAAGTTAGCATTCCTCCTCTGCGTCACTGAAAAGCTAAAATTAAGCAGAAAACGAGAAGAAAATGAAAAAAAGGAGGCTGCTAAAATAGCTTATATCAAGTAATTCATAATAAATATCACAAACTTGTTTATAGTAACAGCTGAAAATGTTTACTTGGAGAATTAGCAAGCTAGAAGATCTCAATTCTCCTTTCAGCGATTGTCGAGTCACAAAGAGCCTGATTTTCTGTAAAGATTTCATTTTCAGAATGATAATGACCAGTGCTCCGAAGATAAAATTAATGAAACAAAACACTGCATAGCAGATATTTGACACTGTGCTTTTAAGTATTCAATTAAAGGTACTTTAAGATTTACACAGCGAAAACATTGCAGTTCCATTAAAAAAAGAAAAAAAATCTAATGTTTACAAAGATAATGTAGGGCATTGGAGAATGGTTCATGTCTAGAGGATGAAACAAATAAAATACCTTAGTTACATTATTACATAGATCATTTATATTTGGATAAGCGTGTTCATGAAAAAAATTTCTTACACATTTTTTATTTTTAACTTGAACTTAAAAATGATAACGTGAAAAGCATACTTTAATTAGTTTTGTTAAATTGCTATCCATTGATATTAATATTATTTTTTTATTGATTTTCAATACATAAAAAATAAAATTTTGTTTGGTTGAGAAATAAAAATAGAGATATAAAATATATTTATTTTTAAGATATTTTTTAATGAATTATTATATTTTTAAACTACAAAATACATTGAAATATTTTTTTTATCTTTATTATCTAGGAGATAAAGAAAAAAAACTCAAACAACTAATAAAAATTAAGAAAACTAAAAAAATTAATTAATCTAAAAAAAAAATTAAAAAATCCTGCTTTGATTCAAACTTCTGAAATTGTTCAAATTTAAACGAACTTGTTTAGTTTGTAACTTAAATCAAATAAAGGTATAAAACACTTATTTTCTTTGAAACCATAACCTTACCTCAATGAACTATAATTTTCAATGGTGGAAGGTTTTTAATATTTTGTTTGGTTTTTTTTTCTATTTGATACGTCAATTGATTTGTTAAATGCTCTGAGAAAGCATGATCTGTGTTCGCCAAGTGATAAAATGGTAGAATAGTTCTAAATCAATGTAACAGTTCTTAAAGCATAGATATTGATATTGAGTATGACAATGGCACCAGATAACACTCTTTGTAAAATATTAAGTGTCTGGTTCATGGTGATGGTACTGATGTTTATTAGGAGGTTTCTAACCCTGTAAGGGCCTCAACATTGTTTATATGGCAGGTATAAATCCAAAAAGCCTGTACTAAGCTCTTAACCGACTTGACTTTTGAATGATTAAGAAAATTTAAAAGCCCAAGAAAAATTCCCAGAAAGGACCAAAAAATTGGGCAATTGGAATTGATTTTTTATATATATATTCATAAAAAAAAACCTAGAAAAAAGCCCAATCATAGAAAAAAAGGTTTTTTTAGATTTGATAAAATATAAAACTGAAAAAAATAAAAAAATATTGGTTTGAACTGGTTATTCATTTAATTTAGTTTGATTTAAATTGGTTTCTTATTTGATTTAATTTTAAATCTTACAAAAATATTTTTTTTTATATAATTGTTTTTAAAAGAAAAAACCAAACTAAAAGGATCATTCCTAACAAATTTGTCTCTTTTGTGTTTTTATTTCCTTGAGAAAGTATATAAAGTTCATTAATGGATAAAATGAAATAATTATTATTTTTTTTGAAAATGATGAGAAAAAACAAGAGACAATGACATTGAAAATGCTTTTTTTAAATTAAGGGCATGTTTTTAAGAATATAGTAATAATTATGGTTGAAAGAATTTTTTTATTTAAATATATATCAAAATAATATATTTTTTTATTTAAAAAATTATTTTTGATATCAGCAGATCAAAATAATCTAAAAATAAAAAAAATATAATTTTAAATAAAAAATTTAAATTTAGAAAAAATATTATTTGAACCATGTTACAAACACATCTTAATAGTATATTTGAAAGCGTAGTTACGGTTACTTTTTAAAATGATTTTTATTTAAAAATTTAATAAAATAATATTTTTTTAGTTTTTAAAAATTACATCTGATATCAGTGTATTAAAATGATATAAAAATAAAAAAAAATATTAATTTAAAAAAATAAAAAAATTAAATTTTTTTAAAATATTTTTAAAATATAAAAATAAATAGGATGTAAATCAAATTCGCGTGGATAAAAAAATTCATGTTTATAACCTCTCCGTAACCGGTTAGGTTTCCTTCAATATCTTGATGAGCAACAACGAGAGAGGAGAGGACATCAACTTCATTGCCGTCTCCGTGCCTAACCAACCCAATGCCCACAAACATAATTGCCAAATGGGCCCTCGTGAACATTCTCAGATTCTCCCAATCTCTTTTACCGAAGGTCTCTTTTTTGTTTGGGTTTTATGGACACAGATAACATTTCGATGTCATTTCTTTAGTTTGAAAGTTGTAAATGGTTTTTTTTTTTTTTTTTGTGAAGAGCATTTTGTTACATCCAAGTCAATATTTATTTTATTTATGCTTGACTTAAGAAAAACCAAGGAATTCATTTTTCTCAACATTTAAATTAAAATATTTTTATAGAAAAGTTTCTTCAACAAATATATATTTTTCAATTTTTTTCAACAAAATACATCTATTTATATCTCTTCTTAAATGCCCATATTTATGTTATTTTAAATAAATATAAGGATCCTTGTAACAAATATAAATTATAATTTTTATAATAACAATGATTTCTAAATTAAAAGTAAAATAGTTAGGTTTGTTTATTTTACTCTCTTTTTTCTTAATCTTGAACATAGAAAATAACAATATTATCCCCA